GTTTGCTACCTGGAAGCAGCACTGAGGGAGACTCGAAGCAAACTACCACCACGGCCAGACACTGATGCAGCAATACCACAGGAAACAGGATATGCCGATGACATTTCCTTCTATTCGACTGAGCGACAATGGCTTGCCAACTCCCTACCCGTGATAGCTGACGGCCTGGGTGACTGGTCACTCAACGTTAACAGCAGCAAAACAGAGTGGCTTCACATCTCTTCCTACACCACCGAATGGCGAAGATCGAAGCAACTTGGCTCTCTCTTGGGGGAAGAGGAGGACTTGAGCCGACGAATGGACCAAGCATCAACATCGTATGGCCGCATGTATTCGCTCTGGATACGACGTCAACTTGTATCCGAGGAAACGAGGCTTCGTCTCTACAATGCCATCGTCCTACCAACACTGTTATACAACTGCGAAACCTGGGGACTGACAGAGACTGCATTGGAGAAGCTGAACGCCTTCCATAGACGTCAACTACGGAACTTGTTCGGAATTAGGTATCCTGCCATCATCTCCAACAAAGACCTATAATTATTCCAGAGCACACACACAGCCACTTTCGCACACCGTTGCTGTCCGCCGTTTCCGGATGTTGGGTCATGTTCTGAGGATGCCCTCAGATGCCCCGCCACAGCAGGCAATGGACAACTACTTCCGTCGAGATGTCACCAGTGTGCGTGGACGCCCGAAATCGAACCTGGCCACGGCAGTCAAGGCAAGTACAGCTGCCAGAGACATGCCACTGAAGACCATGACTGATCTGAGTGGGCTCAGAATGCGCGCTTTGGACAAGCAATCATGGAGAGAACTCTCAGCCTGAGCTGGTTTTGCTCGCGGCTGCAACGCACGGGGTAGTGAACCCAGGACAGAAGCGGACCAGGCATCATGACTTTGCACATCTATCGTTATGCTGCTTCATTACGCGACCTGTTTTATTATTATTATTATTAATAGAAGAACAAGTTTTCAGACCGTACGGTGATGAAAGCCAATGTGAGTAGCCGGAAAACAAAGGGGACTTTAGATACTGGGCTGACTTAACAAGAGGCAGGATGAGCGCGTTACGGGCTGATCTTGCCGAAAACCATTTGTACCTCATCATGTGTGAAGGGGTTTTATGAAGAAAGATTTTATGAACCAGTGTACAGAGATGGTGCTTATGACGAACGGAGAGAGGAGAAGTGTGTGCAATTCGATAAAGGACATCCGAAGGATAACATCGATCCTTGTTGTAAAGAATTTTAAGTATAAATCTATGGTGGGCTTCTAATTGGTTCAGGGTTGTAATACACATTGGAATGAGGCAGAATGTGTGCCGGCGGATGTCTTAGTGACTGGAAATTTAAGTGTTCGATTTCCCTGACTACGTGTAGCACGGCCGGCATTAAGAGGACTGAACATATCGATAAGCAATGTGCTGCATTTACCCTGAAGGCAGCGCCAGGTGTAGCCAAGAAGCTTGTGGCAGTACATAACTTCTAGCGAGTGCAATCGGAATTGGCAATACAGCGGCGCAGATGGGGATGCAAATGGAGCGTTGTAAACACAGCGGACTGCGCGCTTGAGTACAGTGTAGATGCTCTAGGCGCTCGAGCTGATGTGAGGCCAGCAGAAAAACAGTTTTTTTTTTTTTTTTTTTTTTTTTACTAGAGCCACGTAAACCCGTCATGTGTGAGCCATGAATAAGTTGCTAGCATACAGGAAGTCACGAAGGATCAGGGACTTCAGGTACGTGATGCGGCACGGGAGGGGCATGCAGCGCCTGTTTCTAAACAGGACAGCTATTTTACAGGCCGCTCGCTTGGCGATCTGGTTGACCATTGTGGTCCACTTGAGATCTTGGTCCATGTGGACACCAAGATACTTTGCGGATTCTACTTGTGCCAGTTTAACTCCAGAGCACATAACGCTGACACAAGGATACACAGAACGATGGGCAGGGATGAACAAAATCTGGGTTTTACTCTCGTTTAGTACCAGGTTCCTGCTGGCAAGCCATCTGGCCAGGTGTGTAACTGCAAAAGACATACTGCGTTCCAGCTGATGTTTGTCCCTGCTACTAATATAGAGCATGATGTCATCTGCGAACTGAACTGTCCGCACACCATACGGTTGCACTTAAGCTGCCACACCACGGACATAGAGGACAAACAGCAGAGGACCAAGTACGGAACCCTGGGGCACACCACTGCTGGGCTGGAATACCTTGCTGTGCTGGTTCCCAATGACAACTCTTTGCTGCCGGTCACTTAAGTAGTCTGCCAACCAATTCAGCGCACTTCCACCAACACCAATACTGAAGAGGTCGCGGATGAGGGTGCCATGTTGAACCTTGTTTTTTTGTTTTTGTTTTTTGTTGGTTTTTTTACTAGAGCCACGTAAACCCGTCATGTGTGAGCCATGAATAAGGAGAGTGGTGGCGGGGTCTGGGATGCTCTGCCGACCTTGGGTCTCGGCTTCCTCACAACCAGGCGCGTTGTCGAATGCCTTCGACATGTCAACAACGGCGGCGCAAGTTGAGAGTCCGGAGTCTTTGGCATTGGCAAAGGCCTCTGATGCCATCACAACAGCATCCTCTGTTGAGTGCTGTTTCCGGAATCCGAACTGGCAATCTGGGTAGAGGCTGTGGGTGGTCAAGAATTCAGTGAGTTGCGAATGTACGATGCGCTCAAGAATCTTTGAGATAATAGGCAACAGAGAAACCGGCCTGAAATTGGTGGCCTTAGTAGGGTCGCCGCTCTTGTACATAGGGGTGATATTTGCAAGTTTCATGGATAGTGGAAATCTCCCTCCGGAAAGTGATTTGTTGAAGATGAGAGTTACTGATGGAGCTAAGAGGTCAGAGCATGCTGCTAGTACAAGAGTAGGTACGCCATCACTGCCCATTGACTTTGTCGTATCTACACTGCTGAGCAACTTGCGTACACATGCGATGGATACTGGCTTGAAACAGCAGAGATCAGTACTTGCATGCGGACCAGAGGGGATGGACAGCACCTTTGGGCGAGTCGCATCGGTGACGATGTCCGCAACCACTTGTCCGATTTCATCCCGGGGGGGGGGGGGGGGCATTGAGGAGCAGTGTGGGTCCGTGTTCCGCCTGATACCTGGTTAATCACTCTCCATGTTTGTCTTGGCTGGCCTTCCGCATTGGCAAACTGATCCTGATAGTAGCAGGCGTTGAGTCGTCGGGGGATGTCTGTCCTGAATTTTACTGTGACCGGCACTGACTCTGTGGACACGGGCGTTCTGGAGTCGACAGGATATCTGTCCTGCCGTTTCTTGTGACCGGCGCTGACTCTGCCGATCACGAATGTTCTGGAGACGACGGAATCTCTTCCGACGTTTCCTGTGACCGGCGCTGACTCTGCCGATCACGGACGTTCTGGAGTCGGCGGGATCTCTCTTCCGACGTTTCCTGTGGCCGGCGCTGACTCGCCCGTTCAGGATTATTTTGGAGACGACGGGATCTCTCTTCCAAAGTATCTTTTTGCTGACGCTTCCTGTCACCTATTCGGCAACTAACATCCATTCTAGTTGCATTTACTCGTCTCCCTACTTCGTATTTCTTTCCAGAAAATCTCCCCATACAGCAGGGAGTCGTTTACATAATACGACTCCCTGCTATACATCTATATACGTTATAATTATTATGCTATCGGCCTACATGCGATTCCCGGGCTGGTCGACAGGCGGCCCAGCCAGCCTGCTAGTGGGATCTCGGCCTCGCAAACAAATCCACACAAAATGTTACTGCACTGAGTGCATTCCCCCGATACACTTCGCATAATAAAATCATTTATCACATGGCACGTGATTGTTGCCCGTACTCCAGCGAATCAGCACCTTTCGCGCCGCGGGCAATAATATGCGATATTGCCCGCAAAAAATAGTTTATTTGCCCGCAACAAAATAGTTTATTTCAGTGATCGCGTGACTACGATCGTACGACGACTCTGTACGACTCTACGACGAGTCGCAGTGTAGCATTGAGACGAAGATGGAATTCTTTTTGGAGATGGATATCCCTGCAATGGACATGGCCTCGGACGTCTGCCGTGTGGTGCTTTCAGGGAACATTTGTTCAGTCATGTTGGCAGCCTGACCGTCGGTAAGCTTGTGGATAAGATTCAGTTCTGCTCGATGTGGTACTGTGATCACAAACAATTATTTGAAATCACACAAATTCAACTCAGCGTCGTGCGTTTTCGAATCCTCGCAAAGTCACTGCCTGTGTGTGGTTTCATGTGCCATGCAAAATTCTTACCAGGCTCATCTCACCTTTGCTTGAACAACAAACACAACAATTCAGGAATGTTTTGCATTGAAAAATACAGCTATCTGGAGCTGAAAAAAAGAAGAAAATTTTTCCTCAGAATTACACACCAGGGAGTCGTCAAATACTTGCACTTGTTGCAGTTCTGTATTTGACAACTTCCTGATACACATTTAAACATGAAGAAACTCTTTTTGGTAGCACTCTTAAATTTTCAATTGAAATTATGATTCTGCTGTATTTTATTGTCGTTGCCATGTCTATTGCTATGACGATGCGGTGCCGGCACTTTTTTCTGTCTCCGTCTCTCAGTACTGTATACCCTCTGGCCTCTGTGATAAACGTATTGGTTTATTCTAATAAATACTTTGTAGTAGTCTCCATCGAGGAGCGAGTGGAAAAGAACAACAAAAAAAAAGAACAGCACAACGGAATCAGCATGCTCAATGTGTAGTCATGCGTGCATGCCAAATACCAATGCATGACGTAAGCTAACGTAAACTGCGTACAATAAGACAGATGCACGCGGGTGGTTGCATATAGGATAGCGTACATAATAATACAACACGCCCTTCCGAGATCATAATGGGTGAACAAGCCAGACTATGATCTAAACATAATAACTATGAAGATACAAAAAAAAAAAACATGAACAAGAGGCAAAGCAACGAGAACAGTCACAGTGTAGCACAGACTACAGAAGAAGAAAAACTAATCAAACATATGACTGTCCTTGGTGTGCAGAAATGTTTAAACGGTCAGGTTGACGGCGGTTACGGGTGCTGCGACGGGGTGCAACAACAGGCTCAGTAGGTGCGGGAACAGCAGGTTCAGACGCACTATCAGTAGAAACGCGATCAGGCAGCAATGGGACATAAGGCCGTAGGAAGCGACGATTTCGCCAAAACACACGACCACTACGTAGCTTGACGTAATAGTCTCGATGGGTACCAATGCCGACAACGATGCCTCGACCTGTCCACCGTTTGGTGCGCGGATCTTGCAGATCTACGTGCATGCCAATAGTGAGCTTAGACAACGTGCGCGACTGAGACGAATCTGGATCCGAGACAGGTGGAGAATCAGAACTCTCTATACTGGTAGCACGCTGTTTCCACTCCGGGGCAAACGACGAGTGATGCGCCAGCACGAATGACGAGAGCGAACGACCGAATAGCAGCTGGGCAGGACTGGGTCCAGACGGATGTGGGGTATTACGCCATTCCAACAGACCACGCTGGAAGGCATCGGTGTCCAGGTCACCATTACTAGTGGTTTTCGCAATCAGGTACTTCATGGACTTCACCGCGGACTCGGCATGGCCATTCGATTGCGGGAAGTGCGGGGTTGATGTGATGTGCTTCATCTGCCAACGGTCGCAGAACTCAGTGAAGCGTCGCGACGCATACTGGGGACCACCGTCGGTTGAGATTGCACTGGGAACGCCAACATCTGTAAACCAGCGACGAAGTTGACGAACCACGTCAGAAGATGTGGCTGTGCGGCCTATCTTTGCAACACACGGCCAACCGGTGAGTCGATCGACCAACACAAGGTATTCCCAACCTTGGCAATGGAAGAGGTCAGAGCTGACACTCTCGAACGGCATTGACGGTTGACGGTCACTCTGCAGCGGTTCTCTCGGCAAAGATGGCTGGAACTCACGACAGGGCTGACACGCACGGACAAGGCGGTCAAGCTCAGAGTTCAAACCAGGCCAGTACACTAGTTGACGCGCACGGCGCTTGGTGCGGTCAATTCCTTGGTGTGCAGCGTGTAGATCGTGCAGCACAGATGCACGTAGAGCAGCAGGTACTACGATGCGATTGCCCTTCAGTACGACGGCGGAGTCGACAGATAGGTGTTCGCGTCCATTCCAATAGGGCTGCAGATGCCGTGGAAGGTCGGACCAGGAGCGCGGGAAGCCGGTGAGTACCATCTGCAGGAGATCTTGATACTCAGAGTCCGAGGCGCACGCATCTTGGAGCTTCGCATAGCGTAATGCTGACATCGAACCAGAGTCATCAGCACGGAGGCACGCACGAATAGCAGAACCAGATGGCAGGTCGTCTTCTCCAAGCAGGTCAGATGCTTGTGGGTCGGAGACGGGTGCTCGAGACAGAGCGTCGGCGGCATAATGCAGCTTTCCTTGTCTCCAGGAAGCATGAAATTGGTACGGCCGAAGCTTCAGCAGGAGACGCTGCAAACGAGGATTCTCGACCTGATCCAGGCTATACGCGTTGAAGATCGGAATCAGGGGCTGGTGGTCTACGATGAGGTCGAATCTGCTGCCGGCAAGGTACAGGTGGCACTTGCGCACAGCCCAGACCACAGCAAGACATTCAAGCTCAATCATAGCGTAGCGGCTTTCAGTGTCGGTGATAAAGCGGCTACCACACTGGACGAGGCGCCAGCCAGACGGGTGCAGTTGGAACAGTGCATAGCCGAGACCTTTCGTGCGGGATGCATCTGTTTCCAGACGTGTTTCCAGACCAGGTTGGTAATACGCCAGAATGGGGGGTTCGACCAGAGCATTCTTCACACGGTTGAACGCATCGGTGTGTGGCGTTTCCCACTGGAAAACAGCAGACGTCTTCAGCAGACCACGAAGCGGTGTCGCCAGCTCGGCGATAGCAGGTGTAAACTCAGCAAGCTGATTTACGAGGCCCATGAACGATCGGAGGTCGGTCCGATTCGTCGGGGTGGAGAAGTCGCGGATAGCAGAGAGCTTAGCGTCATCGACAGTCCAACCGTCAGCATTCAGGATGTAGCCGCAGAACTCGATCTCGGTAGCAGCGAACACAAACTTCTTCGCGCTAAGGGTTACGCCGTGCTCGCGCGCACACAACAATACGCGCCGGACGCGTGCCACATGGTCACCAAGGTCGTCATCATAGACGAGACAGTCGTCGACGACCTTTTTGAAATTGGTGATGTTGTCGAATGCCGTGCTCATACGGCGGTTATACTCGTCTCCGGCCGAGATGAGGCCCTGCGGATTGCGCAAGTACTGATACCGGCCCCATGGAGTGATAAACGTTGTCAATGGCCGCGCTGCTTCGCTGAGTGGCACTTGCCAGTAGCCATGGCGAGCATCGAGCTTCGTAAAGAAGCGACCGCTGACACTGGTGACGACATCACGAGGTGGCTGTGTCGGATGCGTGGGACGTTGGATCTGATCGTTCAGCTTCTTGAAGTCCACCGTTAGACGCTTCTCAGTGGTGCCCTTCTTGTCGACTATAACAATAGGGTGGCACCAGTCGCGGGGTTCAGAGACAGGCTCAATGATGCCATCCTTCACCATGTTGTCAAGCTGTTCCTTAATCTGGTCCCGAAACGCATAGGGCACTGGTCTAGCGTGATGAACACAGGAAGGTGTAGCGTCTGGTTCGAGCTGAATGTCCATTGACGGACCAGACATGGGCTTCAGACTGTCAGAGTCGAACACGTCAGAAAACTCCTCCAGCAGCTCAGTGCGAATCTGGTCGGCGGTGGGCTCAGGTGCTGGTTTGCGCTCAACTCGGCAAACAGAAGGCCAGTTGGGCGGCAGCAATCCGAGCGCACACAGGGATGTCCGGGAGAGCAAGGCATCCGACAGCTCGGAGTACACGTGTATGGTGGTGCGGTGAGTCTTGGATCCTAGCCCAAGACTGGAACTGATCTGGCCAACGGATACGAGAGGCTGACCGTTCACACCGGTGACAACGTCTGGGTCCTCCGCCAGGTTTTCTGGGAATCCACCCAGAAGGTCAAGATGACGAAGACCAATGGCGTCGACATCACTGCCGCTGTCCGGTATCCAGTTAATGGCTGCACCTGTCTCCTCCGTGTTGAGCGTAGTCGTCACAGACACGGTGCCTTGTTGCCCGGATGATGCTTGCTGGAGCTTCAGCTGGCCGATCTTGGAACCACGTGGCTGCTTGGATTTCTTCGGACACATTTTTTCAAAATGTCCAGTGGCTTTGCAGCCGTTACAAGTTTTGCCAGCAGCGGGGCAGGCAGACTTGGTATGCGTAGAGCGGCCACACTGGGGACATTTCTTGGGTGATGAATAAGCAGACTGGGGTGCTGCCTTAGAGGTGGCGTCCGGCGCCGGCTTGTCACCAAAGCGTTTCTGACGCTGGTACTGTGACCTACGGGCGGCGTTGATCGATGCTGACGGCAGAATACCATCCCCAGTTTGCTTTGCTGCTTCCTCAGCACGGCAAATCTTTGCGGCGTTAGCTAGTGTCAGGGATTGTTCGGCTAACAATTTGTGCCGAGTGTCGTCATCGTGCACACCCACAACAATTCGGTCACGGAGGATCTCCTCGTGTGCTTGCACCAGCATCTTGGGGCAACTGCTGCACATGCGCGCAGAGCATGCGGAACAGACTTGCAAGTCGGCGAAGTCGCAGGCAGCAAAGGACTCCTTTAAGCCGGTGTAAAAAGCATCAAAGGTTTCACCACGTTGCTGGCGTTGGTTATAGAAGTCTATCCGATCCAGCAACGGGTTACGTTGCCGACGGATATATTTTTTGACAGCACAGATTATGTCCGAGGCATCGGCATTAGTGGCCACGGCGATGATCCCCTCGCGCAAATAACGCTTTATGTCTTCATCTAGTGCCTGGCGTAGAGCACTCACTCGTGTGAGTCGGTCCTGAACGGACAGTTTCTGGCATCTCGCGTAATCCTCCCAAGCCTCCTCCCATGCGTTGAGGTCCGCGAGCGTGGCAGAGGAAAGCAGGATGGGCCGTTCCACCGAGATTTGTTTCGTCGTGGGCTGCGATGTGGATGTATTGCCACTATTGGAGCTACTCAACAGGGCAGTCAGGCGTGCCTCGCGGTCCGCTGCGGCTGTCATCTGTGCCTGCATGAAGGTCAACAGAGCCTGAACATCAGGGCTGACAGGTAAGTTTGGCGTGGCTGCTGCGCCAGGGACAGCATCACTACCAGAGTCGGACATTACGAATCGAAACAAATTTACAGCACTCGCACGAGGTTCACACCACTGAAACAACGGGCCGGGATTGTCAGGTCACAACGGGTGATCTGACCTACCGCCTACAATGCTACTACGACAGGTAAGAAAATAGTTCACTGCGCCATGTGATAAACGTATTGGTTTATTCTAATAAATACTTTGTAGTAGTCTCCATCGAGGAGCGAGTGGAAAAGAACAACAAAACAAAGAACAGCACAACGGAATCAGCATGCTCAATGTGTAGTCATGCGTGCATGCCAAATACCAATGCATGACGTAAGCTAACGTAAACTGCGTACAATAAGACAGATGCACGCGGGTGGTTGCATATAGGATAGCGTACATAATAATACAACAGCCTCTGATGGCCTGTAGAAGACTTTTTGTTAGGGTGTAGGAGAAATATCTTCATTTTTCCTGTTTTGATAATAATAGCACATCAATATACATTGTGGTCATAATGTGTTGGCATTTGGGCAAATTTCAACAGCAGCTCAATGGTCTGCTCTGTGGGCCATGTGATAAATTTGTTATCGCATGGTTGCTGCGGGCCTTATGGCATATTATTGCCCCTCGAGGTTAGCCCTCTGGCCTACGGCCCTCGGGCTAACCTCTTGGGGCAATAATATGCCATAGGCCCTTGCAACCATGCGATAACATATACATACTCATTTTTTGATTGTACCGTACTCTTGATGGTACGGGACAGGTACGAGATAGCGCAAGGTATGCCGGAACAAACAAACTAAAATTTTGTGGCCAGCTGTCTTGGCTGGTACGGTACGGTACGGGACTCGTGGCCTGGCACGAGGAAAACATGGATGCAGTGAATAGGCGTGACACAAGCCAAGCTGTACTACGCCGGAAACGCCTTCTTCCTCTCGCTGTCTGCCGCTGGTCTCACTCGGCTCGAATGATCGGCGAAGTCCGGGGTTCGAGCAATCCTACGACTGCAGAATCCGATCGCGACTCAGCCGCTACGAGAGAGACTCTCATTGTCCACCATTGAGAGATTCACCCCAACCGCACCTTCTCAAGAAGATCATGACCGAAAGGCCACTCGTGCACAAGTGACATGGCTCTTCGTGTCCCCTTCCTTCCGGGTCCTGCTGGACGGTCCTCCATCCGTTTCCAAGGTGCCTTTCTCTGGAATAAGCTTACGGTTGAAGTTAGATGTATATCACAAAAGGATGAATTCAAGAGCACCATCTGACACTGTATTGAGTCGCTTGTCCCTACCTCTTTGTATCTTAGCCTCTAGAACCGCTAGTTCTTCAGTTCCCTCTTTTCCTGCACGATTGCCTCGTTTGTAAGTTCTCACCTATTTTCTGCACCATTGCTTTATGCTCTGTTTACATGTATGTGCACCATTGCCTTTAGGAACGCTGTATCTTGTTCTCGCATCCTTTCTGGACATTTGCCTTCAGAAACGCTTTATCTGTAATTGTCAGGGAAATCTCGCATAACAACTAAACTGTCGTAATCCGACATCATCATTATTCATTTTTTCTCATAATTATCTTTCTGATACGTATTCATATCGCAGATTTTTCGTTTTTGTAGGAATCGGAAAATCCTCTCTCCAGTGAGCGGGCAGTATTGCCTGTGCGCTGAGCGAATGTAATTAAATGAATACATTTTGGTGAGTCAAGTCAAAGAAGGTGGCCAAACGACTTGTATGATGTTGTTTTTGGAGTTCTCGCTTCCTGCCAACTAACTGACTGACGCTTGACTGGCTCACGTCATGTGAATATACACACAACACTGAAACGGTGTGAGTGAGTAGAAGTCATTGCGCTGTACAGGCGCATTGATCGATCGACTTCTTGTTGAGAATTATTTTAGTATTTCACGATCGTCAATTTATTTGAATTTTAATAGGAGTCGGCGAAGTCTTCTATCAACTTCCATAGGCGTCTGCTTTTCTTCAAATGTCGCCAAGTTACACGGATCGATGGCTTTGCTAAGTCATGGCCTGGAGAATGAGTCCGCGTCCATGTCGTTTTCGTCACACCGTGAGAATAAATTGCATCGCAGGGACGCAAGTCAAAGAATCTATCTGCTCACAAAATAAATCGGGGCTCATGCCACGCTTCAACATTTACCAAAGTTTCCTCTTTTCCATTTATGACTCCAATACGAGCAAGAAGTCTGTTTGTTGTAAACCAGACGTACATGTAGCTGCGTGCGTGAGTTGTCACAGTTATCCATGCTTTCGCGCGGAATAATTCTTGGGGTTCAGAGCGAGTTTTTCCAGGCACCACATAATGTAAGACAGCAAATTCCGTGGACAATCGCCAGGATTGTCAATGCTTTTGAAATGGGCTCAGTAAAAGCACCATAAAATGAACATGTTTTAATCTAAAACTAATACAAGAAACATTGCCTGATGGTCGTAGTACATTAAAATCTGTCGTAATCGATCGCCCCTTGGTGCAAGAAAAAGTGGTCTCTTAGGCGAGACCAAAAAATAGAGACTCCCGGACCCTCCCGCACCAAAATCGAGCCAAAGCCAATTTTTTTTGAACAGTTCATACATGTACATGTACAGTACTGATCGTGTGACTAGGTAGTGACGTGGAGTCACACAAACCCGAGCTTGTACGGCTCCCTGATGTACAGATCAGGGCCATCGTTGGCCGAAATATAGCAAAATTGAACGGGTAAACTGCGTACCTGTTGTCTGCAAAAAATGAATCAAAATTACCGGAAAATGCTGGAAAAAAAGTTCAACATGGCATGCACACATATAGGCATGTACATACATGGAAAAAATAAAAATAAAAATTCGCCCGCCCGCACCAAATTTCACATGGGTCCTGCCCGAGAATCTCGATTTTATTTTGGTCTCGCCTTACGGCAGATGGTCTCTTACGGCAGATGCATGGTAAATCCGGCATACTGGGCATGCATAATGCTTCCATGTACTCAAATCGACGAGAATAATGTGATTATTAATATCATTTTATTGGATATTCAATAGAATATAGGGGTGCCAGGGCCAGTCGATCGCACTTGCAAGACAGCGCATTTTCACACCTTGCAGTTGACAGCACACTGGCAAGTACAGTTTCGCACCTGACTGAACGTGGGTCGCGGTCGCTTACAGCAGATTTAACCCACATGCATGCACGCATACACACAATAAAACTTAAAACAAACAAAACATCATTATGCACATTTATCCACACACGCTCTCACATACACACATGTGCGTGCCAAACGTACAAAACGTGGACACATGTACACCAAGCAGATAGAATACAAGGAAGTGGGGTTTGCCATAGTTTTTTTTCCTTCAATTTTGTCTGATAAATGTTTACGAGACTTTGCATCGAGCGACACCGTGGATGACACTGAGCCAAGAATTATGCAATAAACCAGAAGAGATATCTCTTCACAAGTAGGCAAATAAATGCGTAGGTGCCCGGCATCAGCAATCGGGCGAGTCACAGCAATGTACGTATTGCAACTTCAATGATACACATACACGGTTGACCACCCATGCCTCAAACCGGCGGGTCAACCACATGGTGGCCCGGCAACTTCAAACGGGAACACACTGATACAACAGACACAGTTGACCACCCATGCCTCGAACCGGCGGGTCAACCACATGGTGGCCCGGCAACTTCAAACGGGAACACACCGATACAACATACACAGTTGACCACCCATGCCTCAAACCGGCGGGTCAACCACACAACAACATACAGGTGTCACAACACTGAGACAGTACAGCACAACACTGAGAGGCAAATGCATTTGACCCTCCCAAAAACCAGTGTTCACGACCAAGCATTTCTCACGGCATCGCTCATTAGCATAACTTCCTACAAGTAACCATGGCAAACCCCTAAGTGATACCCACAGAGCCACACCGGCACAAGGACTGCACAACAAGCGGACGGCACGACACTGTACAACACTACAAATGTACCTCTGTTCTGTTCTCAACACCACATGGGCGTGGGCTGTTCCAGTCTTTGCTGCTAGCCATTGCACAGAGGGCATACCGGCTGCACGCCTGACATAGTGATCGGATGCTGCACTTCGCCAGCAGTCTGCACGGCATATGGCTAATTCACAGGCACTTGTACACCGGTGAGCCACTAGTGTGGCCACGCCAATGCGCACAGAATGGGAGCTCACCCGGTTGCAGTTGAGGATCTTAGTCGAGCAAACTCGGGAGAAGTGGCTGCCGTCGACGAACACAAACACTGGCTGTGAGCTGCCGGCAGTAGCGGTCAGGGACCGGAACTCGGCCATAGCCGAAACTGGGTACATCAGATTATGTGTGCGCAAATACCGGGCTTAAAGGTCTGAGTCGCTCATGAGATCATTCCTGGCAGCAATCAGAGCGGCGAGTTCAGCGGAGGAGTTGGCACCAGGCATTGGTCGGCTGTGGAAGCCAGTTCTCGGAAGCGAGTAATCACAATAGGTTCATGCTGCATCTCAGCGGCCCATTGCCCCAAAATCGATTGTCCTTGATAGAAACCGCAGAAGCCAACATCAGAGGCATCCGTGAATAGCTCAAGGTCAGGGGACTTTGAACACTCGACATCGTAGAAGAAGGATTGGCCATTCCAGTCTGCGGCAAAGGAGCGCGACCATTCGATGTCCAAGTGAGCTTCTGTGTCGATGTTGACTACTGACTGAAGAGACAGAGTTTTCCAGCTAAGATACTGGAGTTGACGGATGAAGGTCCTGCTGAACATAGGCACCTTGTTTAGTGCAGCGTACTGGTTCTTGTGCTGGCTGCACAGCTATCAGGAATAGTTTTACCCAGAATGACTGGGTTGATGATTTCTCCCTGAGATAGGGTAATGCCACGTGCACAGCAGATGTGGTGCATAACGAACGCACAGTGGGCATAAATCTTCATATCCACATCAAAGGCCACAAGCGATTGACAACCACACCTGATACGTAGATGATCAACGATCGTCCCTGCACTCAACGTCGCTCCAGCAGTAGTAGCA